ATAGTAACAGTTTTGTGATATTCCGAAATGAAAGAGATATTTTTCTTTTAAAAAAGACTGCAAAAATTTTTATGAGGTAGAAGATCTCAGAGTAAGATTTTGCCTATGCGGATATGAGGATTAATGGTTAACATAAAACTTGAAACAGGTTAAAATTTACAGAGATCAGTTTAAATTTATGGGTATCAGTTCTACAAATCAGTGCTTCGCGAGATACTTGAGTAGAATTTACATCTCCCCAATGGAACACGAAGTTAATGACGGTGGTTCGTTACAATGGGCTTACTTTTGGCGTATCTTTTTTAAATGTCAAACTATATGGAACTATAAATTGTAGTTTTTTTTTCCCTGAAGACAAACCCTGGAAACAGGATAAACATTGAGAGGTTTATATGTTTCGTCTGTGAGAACGGGGGGAAATGTAATAAGAATTTAATCCATCGCCTGCAAGAACACAAAGACTTTTTTAAACTCCTATTCAAGAAGGGAAAGTAAAGTTTTACAGCCCCTGACCAAATATGACAGTATTACTTCATTTTCTGTCTGATCTGGCTCTTGTAAAGTTAGATAGTAGCAGAGGTGAGGTAGCTGCTGGAGCGTTACAGGGGACAGACCATCTTTAGAGATAGATCGTAGGTATGAGTTCCACTTAGGTATGGGCTAATATCATGAAACGGGGCCTTCCTGAGACAACACCTGTTCATCATGATTAGTGAAAATATAGGTTCCGATCGATAATTATTACGTATTAAACGTATTAAACTATAACAGTTGTAATCAAACACCGTTGTGAAGGAAATATTTAAAATATTTTTTTCCTTAATTAAATTTAGTTTCGTACGATGACTAGAAGTATGGAGACATATGTACATAAAGGCAAAATCTTAAAACCTTAAAGTCAAAAAAACACGCGAGGAATGAGTTCTTATATTAAGAACAGTATACAAGAAAGTCTTAAGGAACAGTATACAAGAAAGTCTTAAGGAAAAGTATATGAGAAAGTCTTAAGGAAAAGTATATGCCAAAGTCTTAAGGAAGAGTATATGAGAAAGTCTTAAGGAACACTATGAGAGAAAGTCTTAAGGAACCGTATAGAAAGTCTTAAGGAAACGTATATTAGAAGGTTTTAAGGAACCGTATATTAGAAAGTCTTAAGGAACTGTATATGAGAAAATCTTAAGGAACAATATATGATAATGTGTCAAAAAAATTATATGATAATGTTTAAGGAAATTTATATAAAAGAAAATTTTACATAAGTATATGAGAAAGTCTTAAGAAAATTTATCGTAGATAGTTTTAAGGAAAAATAATATATGAGAATGTAAGCAAGGAAAATATGAGAAATTTTTAAGAACGGTATATGATAATGACATAAGGAAAATATATTTTTAAAAAGAAAATTTTATAGCAATGTAAGAATTGTCTATACTATTCTACATCTGTAAATTCAAACAGTCATTTTTAATACAAAATTTATTAAAAAAAATAAAAATAATATACGTTTATGACACTCGTTGCATCACCAGTTTTATGATCACCCAACAGATGCTTAACAATATTACCATGACTCAGTTTGTTAAATACCTAAAAAAAAACCAAAAATGTTCTATTCCTTTTTTGTCTTACAGAAATTAGTCCGTCGTTGTCTTTTGTTTTTTTTTTTTTTTTTCCCATGAAATACTCCTTCTTCTTGCCTTTCTTCTTTCTTTTCCTCCTTCTTGCTTTTCTTCTTTTCTTCCTCTTCCTGCTTCCATTTTTTACTTCATTCTTAAGGTTTTTTACTTTTTTCCTCCCCCTTCTTCTTCTTTTTTCTTCTTTTCTTCCGAATCCTCTTATTTTTTTAAGTTTTCTTATTCCTCCTCTATCTCTTTTTCGTCCTCCTCCTCCTCTTCTGCTTCCTCCTTATTTTTTTCAGTGGCATTTACTGTTATTCTTCGTCACAAAAGGTTCTTTTATTAAATAAAAACATGTTTGAAGACTCAAAAATATAAAGTTTAATGTCAGCCATTTTTTGTTACAGAATTTTATTCTAATTCTTCCTTTAGCAACTATTAGAATATTCTTAGTTTTGACTGTACACAAAGGGCATAATACTGATAATCCCTCTTTGACTGAAAACCATTCATTATAGAAAGATCATTATTATATTAATCTATTTTCATATTTCTCGTTCAGTTAGTAGTTTTGACGCCTTGAAAGCGCTTTTTGTTTTTTTCTTTTTTTGGCATGTCTCTTTTTTTCCTGAAATTTAATTACAGTTTCTTGTATGCAAGAATAACCAATACTTACTTTATTAATTAAACGTAAGTTGTTAGTCTAACTATTTATTATTGTAAAAACAAATCTTTGGTTTTATTTTGTTTGCTTTGGTTTTGTTTATTTCGTTGTATGGCATATCAACCACAATGGGTTATTTAATACCGACAGTTTTATTTGCTGGTAATATCTTTTTCCTTCAAAAATGTGTAGCTGGTAATATTTTTTTTTCAAAAATGTATTGCTGGTAATAATTTTTTTTCAAAGGTTTATTGCTGATGATAATTTTTTTAGAAAGTATTTCTGGTATAAACATATTTTTACATTTTCATAGTGTTTTGACCCCATTTTGGGGGTTAACTATTTGCCCATATCTGAGACCCTAACAGGTGCTACCACCCCAGATCAGAGTGGACATGGGAACACCAGCAATTAAGAGGTGGCTCCCCGCTCCTCAAAACCCCCTGATCAGAGGCCTTATCTGGACGTTGTTTATCGTCATACCCAGGACAAAAAATCTTTTTTTTATTTTCTTCATATATAGTTTGTTCCCCTCGCCACGAAGACTATTTTCCTGATTACAACGAAATTATTTTATTTACACTTTATACGATAGTTTTTGTAACATTTACAATAAATGATTTCTTTTTATATTTGATCTTGTAGCGGACCTTAGGGTGAAGATGTAAAGAACACACGTGGATTAAAATTTCCTGCTGGCCTGTCCAGCTACCTGAGAATGTTGGACTTTAATTAAATCCAAAGAAAGAAAAGAAAACAAACAAGACCAATAATTATATATAAACAAATATATGTTTTAACAACAAGTACAAGTTACAAGCACATGGACATTGAGTTTATTTGGTGAATATTATATGTGTGTATTGTGGTGAGTGTTCGTACGTACGTGTATTGGTATTGTTCTTAGCGTGTTCCCAGAATTTGGGAAACGCTGTATTGGTGAGAGCTCACATATTGGTATTAACTGAAATGAAGAAAGAAGAGAACGAATTACCTCACCTCCACGCGAGGTGGGATACGGCCCAAGGCCTGAGGGAAAAAGAGAAATCGAGGCAAAAGATTACCCAATATTTATAGCAATGGGAGAGAGACCCCTGGTGAAGGATTAAGGAACTAAGGAGGCGATAACTCCGACAATCTAACGTAAATTGCATTTCCGCTATATTTTCTTGATGTAGAGCCTTCATTTCTTCAAATTCATTGTATCAAGTTTAATAAAAGCGTCTTAGCAAAAGCGTATATAATGAACAATTATATTCTTAATTAAACTATTAGTTATATAAGGTCAAAGAAAACAAATTTTTAAACATAAATAACAAATTCTTGATTATCGCAATGCTCGTCTTCCGTATTCTTTTAGGTTTTATTTTTATTTTTTCGCGCGCTTTTCCAAACAGGGGTGGAATTACAGTATTTTTATTTTTGTCCTTTTAATCCAGAGTGAGCTTTGCATAAATAAAACGTTATTTTAATTCTGTTTTAAGTAAGAGATAAGAATTACATTTAGAAAATTCAGTTAATTAATCCTTAAATCTGCTAAAATACTTCGAAACACACATTGAGGACAAATACTGAATTTTAAAAAGAATTTTAAATTTGTTGTTTACATTTTTAAATTTGTTGTTTACATTTTTAAATTTGTTGTTTACATTTTTAAATTTGTTGTTTACATTTTTAAATTTGTTGTTTACATTTTTTTAGTATACAAGGCCGTTTTAAATTAGTGACGAAAAAATGTTTATTTCTACACGGAAATTATTTTTTCTTTTAATTTCGATTAGCCTTAGGCCATTATCTTTTAAATAGCATTTGGATTTAAGTTCAAGGTATGACTTTCTCATATACTATTCCTTAAGACATTCCCATATACAGTTCCTTAAGACTTTCTACTATACGGTTCCTTAAGACTTTTTAATATACTGTCCCTTAAGACTTTCTCATATACTGTCCCGTAAGATTTTCTCATATACTTTTCCTTAAAACATTATCATATAATTTTCCTTAAGACATTATCATATACTTTTCCATAAAACATTATCATATAATTTTCCTTAAGACATTATCATATAATTTTCCTTAAGACATTATCATATACTTTTCCTTAAAACATTATCATATAATTTTCCTTAAGACATTATCATATAATTTTCCTTAAGACATTATCATATACTTTTCCTTAAAACATTATCATATAATTTTCCTTAAGACATTATCATATAATTTTCCTTAAGACATTATCATATAATTTTCCTTAAGACATTATCATATACTTTTCCTTAAAACATTATCATATAATTTTCCTTAAGACATTATCATATAATTTTCCTTAAGACATTATCATATACTTTTCCTTAAAACATTATCATATAATTTTTCTTAAGACATTATCATATATTGTTCCTTAAGATTTTCTCATATACTTTTCCTTAAGACTTTCTAATAAATGACTTTTCAGAAAGTCCGTTAACATAATCATTAAATAAAATATTCCTAATGTTTATATGTGACTGAGTAAAATATTCACAGCGTTGTCGTTCATCAGAACCCAGACAAGAACAAACGTATTATTGACAGAGGATATATTTAAAAAGGCCTATTAAATACGATTATTAAATATTAAAATTAAAAATTTTTCTATAAAAAAAGAATAAAAGTATTATTCATCACATTACAACATTGAGACAATCCAGTTGATATTTACGTCTACCGTCGTGTGCATTCTAGAAGAAGAAGAAGAAGAAGAAGAAGAAGAAGAAGAAGAAGAAGAAGAAGAAGAAGGAGGAGGAGGAGGAGGAGGAGGTATTATTTATTTGTGGTATCTGGTAGAATTTTTTTTTATAATTAGTCAGAACGATGGGGAAAATACTATTGTCGAAGAAAATGAAAAAGTGGGAAAAACTATTTCATTAAAAGTAAAACTTATCTTTGATAGCCAATCATTGGCCGAATCCCCGTGACGTCATTTCACACTATATAAATCGAACAGCAAGGTAAAATTATTCAAAAAGTGTTTTGTTGTAAGAGACTAAACATTATCGCTGTGATTAGTTTTTCAGAGAGAGAGAGAAGGAAAAAAAATACAGAATAAAAATGCAAACAGACATCATGTACAACTTTTGTATCCTGTTAGTGTTAGCAGTTGGTAAGTACATATTTATTTATCTTTTTTATTTAAACACTTCATTTTCTTCTCCCACCGTAAGGCCCAGCGAAGGAGTCCAAAACAGGAGACTATGAGGATATTGTTGATATTGATGATTGAACATTTTGCAAATGAAAGATCATACATTTTACAATCTTACATTATTTTCTATCGGGGCTAAAACACTTGCCTGATATAGGATAGAACAATGAGATTTATAATTCAGAGTTCTTAGCATTTATTTTTATTTTGAAAAAAAAACAAAAAAAAATACAGTGCTCCATACAAACAGTAGAACATTATATTATACTTGTTGTTTTTAAAATATATTATCATCGTGGCACAGAAAATCCCATGTTTCAAAACTGAAACTTCAATTCAAATTTTATCGTAAGAATTAAAAAACTTAAAATATAAAATTCCGTTCTATTTCAGTTGATGCTAAGAATAACTTCTTAGAAAATGATTTAGTTAATTTATCTATATTATTTAAGCAAATCAATTTCTAAAAAAAGTTATTCTTTGCATCGCTTGAAAATGGAACAGAATTTTATATTTTAAGTTTAAATTTATGATTTAATTTGAAGTCTCAGTTTTGAAACATAGGATTTTCTATGTCACGATGATAATATATTAAAAAAAGACAATTATCTATCTACCTACGTATTTATCTACCTATATATATATATATATATATATATATATATATGGAATAACGATATATAAATTTGTATATAGCAAGAACAGTTTTGAAAGAAAAGATGTATGATGAATTGGAAGAAATTATTGTGACACGTTTTATCCGTTCGGAGACTGGGTGTTGTTTACGTTGTCGCGACTACACACGCGCGCACGGAATACATGTATATTTCTTGTGGGGTTGTTGGGCCCTACTGACATCTGTTATATTTAGTTTTCTGGGTTCATTCCCTCCCCTCTCACTTCATGAGCAGATATTTTTATATATTAAAAAAATGAAAAAAAAAAGGAGATATTTTGAACTACTTGTACATATCAAAGTTTTATGTCATGGTTGTTTTTTTAGGTTGCATGCGAATTTGTGGTATTGTGATATAATGTAGTATGTGTTTTCGTGATGAATGAGAAAATTGTAAAGAATGAATGAATGGGCCGTGAATCAGATTAGCCAGGTCAAGTATAGAAAGTGCCGACGAGCTTTTCCTTTTCTTCGGTCTTGTGCCACATTTGTTTTAATTAAAACAATATATATAAAGAGATAGATAGATATTTCTCTAATAAGTCGAAGAGCAAGTCAAATTTAAACAGAAAAACATATTTCCCCCTCTACAACTTTATATCCTAATGTTTCTGCCTTCACCACAGGCACACACACACATGCACACAACACACCTGCTCACACGCGCGCAAGTAATGAAATGTATTTGATTGAAATAAATTTGAGTAAAAAAAAAAAAAAAAAAAAAACTCGACGTCTTCCAGTTCATTCACAAATTATTTTTCTTTTAGTTTTAATATTTTCATTATGTTCATTAATTCTATTTACTCTCTATTCAAGCCTATTCTGTACTTTCTTTCTCTGAGCGCCACACGGTGCGGGTCATATTAGCGTGCTCGTTCCTTTAAATATGTAGAATACATTTTTAATCCTTTTTTCCGTAACTTGGGCTCGTAAAGACAGGTCAAAGAATCCTGAAATTAACAAAAAAAAAAAAAAAAAGTAAAAAAAAAGTCAAGTAAGTTTTGTAACTCTACTTAACTGAAACGAGTAGAAAGTCACAATTTACAGTTTCTGTTACTTTTATTCAAATATATTCTCTTCGTTTTTGGCAGTTGTCCTTTTAAAATTGTTTCACAATTGTATTATTAACATTTTTTTTTTATTTTACTTTTTTGTCTACTTGAAATTAAATTTTGATGAAAATTATTTTGTTTCGTCATTTTAAAAATATATGACGCGGAGAAACGTAGTAAAAAGTTAAAGGGAGGTAACTCTTAGGAAAATGTTTATTTTGATTTTTAATTAACATTTTCTTTCTTTCATTCTTTCTGTCTTTCATTCTTTCTTTCTTTCGTTCTTTTGTCCTTTGGTTCTATCTATCTATCTATCTATCTATCTATCTATCTATCTGAGTCTGTTCACATATGCCTATTTCTCTGTAAATATACCAATTATCATGTACCATTTTTTAAGATTTCATAGTACTGATGTTAAAGGATGTCAAATTTTATTATACAAGTCAATGTTTTACAAACCGTTGATATTTGTCTACTTAAAATTAATCAATTTAACGAAAACTAAATATTTCATTCGTCATATATTTATAATATATATATATATATATATTTATATATATATATATATATATATATATATATAAATAAATTTTCCTTATATACAAAAAAAGGAGGTAATTCTTACATTTTTCTATTTGGTCAAATGACAGTTGCTTTCTTTCTTTTTTTTCATCAAATCTATATATATATATATATATATATATATATATATATATATATATATATATATATATATATATAAGGAGAAGATTTATTTGTTCCAATATGAACTTTTCATCAATTTTAAAGAGAACAGAGACGTTTTAAACGTTTTTTGGTTATAAATTGGATTTTTAAATATATATGATACCTTATTTTCAATATGGAATATGAAATATAATATATATTTAAAAAATCCACATTATAACGTTTGATTTTTCTTTTCTCTTTAATTTTACATACATATTAACTTTTTTTGTATATGGAAAAATTATTGTTTTTATCGTTACGGTTTGGTTCTAGTTTTTTATTTATTTATTTATTTTGGGTGGGATTTCTTCACACCTCAGAAAAGTTCCTGTTCAGTCCTTTTTTTCTGTTTTGTTTTTGCTTTACAGCATTTATAGTGGCGCGGTTTTTCTAGAGGGTATTTATTTCTCCTTTACGTCACTGGGTGTCTCATACTTTCGGCCATGTTCCACATCTGAGCTACGCTTGGAAAATCACTATATAGATAGATAGATTCATAGAGAGATAGATAAATAGATGCATTTAAAGTAAACGAGACGGATGTAAAGAAACTTTGATATATGTAAAGAAACTGAGAGAAACAGGTAGATGGATATGAAGAGGGCGAGACATAGATAGATAGATAGATAGATAGATAGATAGATAGATATGAACAAAGATAGCGAGATATATACGAATAAGAAAGATAGATAGATAGATAGATAGATAGATATGAACAAAGATAGCGAGATATATACGAATAAGAAAGATAGATAGATAGATAGATAGATAGATATGAACAAAGATAGCGAGATATATACGAATAAGATAGATAGATAGATATGAACAAAGATAGCGAGATATATACGAATAAGAAAGATAGATAGATAGATAGATATGAACAAAGATAGCGAGATATATACGAATAAGAAAGATAGATAGATAGATAGATATGAAACAAAGATAAAGAGATATTCCTTTGAATAAGAAAGATAGATAGATAGATAGATATGAATTTTTTTAATGAGATATATACGAATAAGAAAGATAGATAGATAGATAGATATGAACAAAGATGAGATACTTTAAGAAAGATATATACATTTTGCTAAAGAAAGAAAGATATATCGAATAAGAAAGATAGATAGATAGATAGATAGATAGAAGATCTAGAAAAAAGCTAAATAGAATAGATAGATCGAATGAAAAGACTAAGATAGATAGATAGATGCAAAAATGGGATAGGTTGATAGATATAAAGAAACAGAGACAGACACATAGATAGACAGATAGATAGATAGATGGATAGATAGATATGAACAAAGATAGCGAGATATATACGAATAAGATAGATAGATAGATAGATAGATAGATAGACGTAAAGAAATTGAGATAATTAGATAGACATGAAGAAGCCGCGATATAAATACATCAATACAGTGATGTAGAGAAACTGAGAAAGATACATGGAAAGAAACTTCATATAGATAGATAGATAGATAGATAGATAGATAGATGTATAAAAACTGATATTGGTAGATAGATAGATTTGTTATGTTGGTACGTTTACAGATGCGCACAAAAGAAGTATGCTATAATTTGACACACACACACACACACACACACACACACACACATATATATATATATATATATATATATATATATATATATATATATTTGAATTCAGCCCCTCCTCTGAAATGCGGATATGTCCTCTTTCTTGCATAACAATTCAGTATTCAATAAAGTCTGTAATGACATAACGCGACACAAGTAAAAATTTTTTTTTTATCATACAATTTCCCAATTCTATTCTTCATATATATATATATATATATATATATATATATATATATATATATATATATATATATATATAACTTTTTTTGTATATGGAAAATTTATTGATTTTATCGTTACGGTTTGGTTCTGGTTTCTTTATTTATTTATGAGCAGATAAACACTCTTTTTTTTGGGATGTTCAGTCCTTTTTTCGGTTTTGTTTTTGCTTTACAGTATTTATAGTGGCGCGGTTTTTCTAGAGGGTATTTCCCCTTTACCTCAAGCCGTGTTTATTTTGATAAGGGATTGGCTATTTTCGTAATACGTCACTCACAATGCAAGAAAACCTTCAACTGGGAACTCCGTTTTACGATACACATAAAAGCGCTTAGAAACTCAACAGATTGACTTGTGTCGTATACCAAGTAAAATCCGTGAAAAGCCAAAAGTCAGAACAATTTTCTTCGCAACTTCACAGTTATTCTTTTATACTGCGTACATTTCCGACAGAGAACTTGTTTAATTTAAAAACAAAATGATATGTTTTAATCTGCTGTTGTTCGTGATCTTGCCAGGTAAGTTGTTCTGTTTAAAAACTTTATTTTCTTTCATTTCTCAAGGCTTCAACTTTTTAAAAAAAAAAAAAAAAATTTAACCCCAAGCAAGGCAATAAAGCAAATAAGACACAAGGAATTACCGAGTCTGGAAGAATAAGAAAAATGAGAATTGCTATTAAGGAGCGAAAACAATAAAAGGAGGAAAAAATCAAGTTAATAATAAATAACGATAGACATAGAATTTATTGTAGATATTTAAAAAGATCAAAGATTGACAGGAAAACCAGATACTAAAAGTGAGTTACGCAGACATTTCAATGTATATATATATATATATATATATATAGTCAAATTATAATGAGACAGACAAACCTTGTAAGGTTTCACCTAAGCGATTTGGATTAAAAGCTGGCAACAAAAAAAATTCGATCATTTTTCGAGACGAGTATAGTTACCTATATATATATATATATATATATATATATATATATATATATATATATATATAATAAGTATAATCAGTATGTGAAAAAAAAAAAAAATGGACACACTAGTAGAAATTTACTTTTTTGTATTTACATTCATTAACATTTTAAGAATTGTCCTGACTTCGAGAAAGGCCAAGTCGCTGCTTTTTTTGATCTTGGGCTGTCGAATAGATCGATAGCTGATAAGATTAATCGAAGTGAGTCATATGTCCGCCGCAATTTAATCAATAAGAGAAATCAAACTGGAACATATAATAGACGTAGCCGATTTGGCCGATAATAAAAATCTATAGACAGGAAGAAGATAGAAACTTGGTTCGTCAATGCAAAAAAGATCGATTGTCAACAACAGAAGATGTTTCGAAAATGGCTAGTTTTGTGTTTTTTTTTTTTTTTTTTTTTGAAGAATAGTCAGAAGCAGGCTTAAAGCAAAAGGCATTGTTTCCAAATACACAAAAAAGAAACCTTTCGTATCTGGAAAAAAAATCCACGGGTATAGTTGGCTTGGTGCAAAGTTCATTTACGCTGGATTAAATCTGACTGGGAAGATGTTATGTGGGTTGACGAGAGACTCTTACTCTTAGATATGAAGACCGAATACGTGTTTGATGTACGCCCGATGAAACGAATATTCCAGTGACTAACAAGGGCACTGTTAAACATGATAAAAAAAATCAACGTTTGGGGTGCATTCTCAGCAACAGGAGTTGGTAATTTGTACAAAATCAAGGGAATCGTGAACCAGCATCAATACCGCAATATTCTTGTTAATCAAAAGTATCGTTTCGCTAAAAAGACTTTTTGCCCAAGATCAACGTCTTACGTTCCAGCACGATAATGATCCTAAGCATACTGCCTTAAAGAATAAACTTTATCTAGAGAGGAAGCAACCCTTCCAGTGGCCTAGTCACAGTCCTGGCCATAGCCCAATTGAAAACCTTTGGGCGATAAAGGACAAGCATGACCATAATGGGAAAGCTAACACAGGAGATGAACTTTTCAGCGAATTAAAGGAATGCTGAAAAAAAAATGGCGAAGAAGTTTCACTTACTAAAGGAATGAGTCTGTAGCATGTCATTAAGAATTAAGGCCGTTATTAAAGCAGAAGGTTACCCAACATAATATTCAATCACTTTTTGACATGTACAATGTAAATTTGTACACCTGTATTAATACCTTGTAATAATAAACAGATTCTATTACTCACTTGTTTTGGTAAAAATACAAAAATCGACTTTCTATGGCTGCGTCCATTTTTTTTGCCTCGTATATATATATATATATATATATATATATAATTATTTATTTAAAAATATGATTCCAACGCTACATAAGAGTTCTCATGTTTCAAAACAAGAGCCGAAAACTTCAATATAATTATTTGAATTAAATTGAATTAAAGTACTAAGCTCTGTTCCATCTTCAAGCGAAATTTTTTTTTTGAATAACTTATTCCTGAAATTTACGCGTTTTATAAGCATATTCATTATTGAAATTAAAATTACTTTGGTAACGGCTAGAGCAATTGTTTAAAGAAAAGGGGCGTAAGGGTTAATAATAACAAAAATACTAAAGAACTTTGGATTATTTACCTAACGAGTTCTTTCCTATTTTCTATATATTTTTACACTTACACACACACACACACACACATATATATTACTATAAAACACTGTGAACTTTGTTTGCTTGTGAGTGAGTAAAAAAGATGTAAATTTTTTATCGTGTAGGAAGGTGGGGGGAGGGATTAAAAAATGGAGAATA